TCAGTGGTAGAGCCCCTGCCTAGAATCCCCCAGTGAGGGGCTGGGGTGTGGCTCAGTGGGAGAGCACCTGCCTAGAATCCTCCAGTGAGGGGCTGGTAAAGTGCTTGCCTAGGGGAGGCATGAGGGATTGTCTCTGGTTGAAGTGCTCAGCACACATGAGACACTAGTTTCAATCCCAGTACAGGGGAAACACACACACACACACACACACACACACACGCACACGCACGCACACGCACACGCACACACACACACACACACACACACCTCCATCAGCCGTCTCCACCTCATCTCGCCGCCCGTCTCTGGTGTCCTTGGCTTGTGGCCTCACCACCTTCCCCTCATCACATCTCCCCGTTCTTAGCTGGCCCCCCCTCAGCATGCGTCTGCGTCAAAACGTCCCCTTTTGGTAAGGACACCTTTTAAACTGGGGTTCACCCTCTTTTAGTACTAACCCACCTGTTTGCTGTCCTACTTGGTTAATTCTCAGAGGCAGGGTCCCACCATGATGCCCAGGCTGTTCTTGAACTTGTGATCCTCTTGCCTCAGCCCGCCAAGGCTCCTTCCATTAACCTTTTGGTACTCTGGGCAAATCCCTGGTCTCTGCCTCCGGTGCCCTCATTTATGAGATAACGGCCACTCCTTTTTTCACACTTGGTTAATTAATGATTAATTTTTGTGCATGTGTAGAGTCAGTAGTTCTCTCCTTCTACCGCGTGGGTCTCGGGAATCGAACTCAGGTTGCCAGGTGTGGCACGTGCCTTTACCCACTGAGCCATCTGGCCGCTCCTGGTCACTCGGCTTTTTCAAGTGAGACAACAGGGTTTGGAGGAAGACGTGACCTTCGCACACTCACCCAGTGGTCGCACACTCACCCAGTGGCCAGTGGCTGACTGACAGAGCAAATGGGAGCCGGCAGGAAACGGTGTTGATAATGGGAGGCAGCGTTGACAGCCCCGTGAAAGACCTCCTTTTGGTGCTGTGGTCCACGCCTGTCATCCCAGCACCCAGGAGGTAGGGGCAGGAGGATCGGAAGTTCAAGGCTATGCTCAAGTGGGAGACCAGCCTGGCCTACAAGAGACCGAGTCACAAAAGAGAAGGAGAGGAAAGGTCCCCTCCCGTTTCGTGGATGTGCAGGCTCATGAGAGAGAATCCTCCCCCCCCCCCATTAAGAAATTACTTGTTTTTGGCTGGGTAGTCGTGGTGAACCCCTTTAATCCTGGCACTTGGGAAGCAGAGGCAGGTGGATCTCTGTGAGTTCTAGGCCAGCCTGGTCTACAGAGTGAGTTCCAGGACAGCCAGGGCTATACAGAGAAACCCTGTCTCCAAAACAAAACACACACACACACACACACACACACACACACACACACACACGCGCGCGCGCGCGCAAAATCACTTGTTTTATTTGTGTGCATGTGAGTGTGGGTGTGGGTGGGTGCGCACGCTCACCTGCCAAGGTGAGCAAGGTCAAAGACAACTCTCAGGAGTTGGTTCTCCCCTACCCTGTGGTCCCAGGAACCAAACTCAGGTCATCAGGCTGTGTGGCACATGCCGCTGCCACCTCCCCGAGAGGCAACCCTTAACGTGAAGACGTCTAGATTCAGTGAGCTGAGGATCTGAGGGTAAAAATGAAAAGAAAAAAAAGAACCCGGTGCGGGCGGCAGATTTTCCACGCGAACGGCTGAGAAACCGACCAGTGCCTCAGATGCTCAGAACGCCCACGAGGGGGCGGCAGAGTCCGGGCTCTGTCTTAGATTTGGGCAGTGAGGGCGGCTTGAAGCCGGAGGCCACTAAGGGCAAAGTGGACCGGAAGCGCAGAGAATGAACGTCCCCTTCTTCCTGGGCCGCGCCTTTAATCCCAGCCCCCAGGAGGCAGGTGGATCTCCGTAAGCTAGAGGCCAGCCTGGTCTACACAGTGAGTTCCAGGCTCACCAGGGCTACAAAGTGAGACTCTGTCTCAAAAACAAACAAATAAATAAGGAGCTTGGAGAGATGGCTCAGCGGTTAAGGGCAGTGGCTGCTCTTCCAGAGGACCCAGGTTCAACTCCCAGCAACCACACCACAGCTCACAACGGTCTGTAACTCCAGTTCCAGGGGACCCGACACCCTCACACAGACATACATGCAGGCAACACACCCGTGCACGTAAAAGTAAAAAGAAATAAATAAAATAAAACAAGACCATCCCCGAGGGTTGGAGGGAGCGCTCCATGATAAAGTGCTTTGCTGACCAAGTGTGAAGATCTGAGGTAGGATCCACAGAGTCACGTGTAGATGGACCAGCAGCACGCATCCGTAATCCCAGGTTCTTCTTTTGTGTGTCTACATGTGTGCACACATGTGTCACGGTGCAATGTGAAGATCACAGGACAGTTTTCGGGAGTTGATTCTCTCTTTCTGTCAGGTCTGGCTTGGCAGAAAGTACCTCTACCCATTGAACTATCTCACCAGTTTTCCTCCTTTTAACTTGGCTTCCGGGGATTTGAACTCATGTCTTCACGCTTACCCAAGAAGTGTTCTTTCTTAAAAAAAATAATTTATTTTTTTATTTTATGTGCATTGGTGTTTCGCCTGCATGTGTGTCTGTGTGAGGGTGTCAGGTCCCCTGGAACTGGAGTCACAGACAGTTGTGAGCTGCCTTGTGGGTGCTGGGAGTTGAACCCAGGTCCTCTGGAAGAGCAGCCAGTGCTCTCAACCACTGAGCCATCTCTCCAGCCCCCCAGAGAGCTTGATTCTATGTATGCTTATGTGTGTGAACAGATATGTTCCAGCCTCATGACATTCCCCAGAGACCAGCAGTGATGCTGGGGACGGCTGGGGTGGTGCCTTTTTGTTTGTTTGTTTCCGAGACAGCGTTTCTCTGTGTATCCCTGGCTGTCCTGAAACTCGCTCTGTAGCCCAGGCTGGCCTCGAACTCACAGAGATCCACCTGCCTCTGCTTCTCGAGTGCTGGGATTAAAGGCCAGCGCCACCACTGCCCAGCATGGGTGGTACCTTTCTTAGGTGACAATATTCCCTCTCCTAGGATTGAGGGCTGAGTCACATCTGGATGGAAGAGGAGGACAGAGAAACCAGCAGATGTGGCCCAGGAGCCACAATGTGGCAAATAGATAAAGTGCTAAAATCTGTAAAACTTGGAACCAATTGGCTTTGGATGTCTTTAGTTATTTTAAGCATGTATGGGGATAGAGAGACTGTTAAGAGTGTGACTGCTCTTACAGAAGAACTTGAGTTCTCTTCTCAGTACCAAATAAAGGCTCACAATAGCCTGTTACTCCAGCCCAGAGGATCTGATGCCCTCTTCTGGCCATCACTGGCAATTGCACTCATGTTCACACACACACACACACACACACACACACACACACAATTAAAAACGAAATAAATCTTAAAAAAATAAGCATATAATTGTATTTACATAGGAATAATTAGAATGCACCAAAATAAAGCTTTAATTATACCCAGTATCAGAAAGAAACTCAAAACTAAGTATGACCTTGGGAAGACACATAGTCTATATTAAAAACAGTGTTTCCCGTGGAGATGGGTCAATCTTTCTTAGAGGAGTGTTTTGCAGATGGTAAAATGCAACCCAGGGTCAAAGCAATCATTTAGCAGCAACGGGTATGGGGTGGGGGTGGGGGTGGCGGCGGCACTGTCCTTGGTGCTGAATCGGGCCAGGAGTAGAACATCTCTGGACATGGGACTCCGGGGGCATCGCCCACCATCATGGCATGCCCACTGCACTTTCCACACTGTTCGACCTTCCATCACTCTTGTCTCTCTCTTATTCAGTCTCGCCAACTACAGGGTCAATTTCCCAGTAAGTTCCCCATGGGGAGTTCTCAATGGAGGGCGTGTGCCACCATGCTTGACCCAGTGGGGTTCTCCTCAGCCCTCAGCTCCATGGATCCATGCGAAACCGCTTTTGGGTTAGTGTTTACAGTGATGTCATGACCACCTGGGGCCTCTGAATCTGGATCTGAAAAGAGAAACAGAAGCAGGGCTGAGCACAGGAGAAATCTAGTTTTGGAAGCACTCAAGACTTGGTCCAGGTCCAGGGTTATAGGTTAGCCCACCCCAACGTCCACCCCATCTGTGGTCTGCTGGAGCCCATGAGGAGGCTGGTCCTGCAGACCCAAAGCTGCGGGATCTCCGCGACACAGGGCAACGGCAGGATAACCAGGAGGAGCTCCAGTGAGGGTCCAGCACTGATAGTGTAGCGGAAACCTGAGGCCTTGAACCAGACCGGTGGCTCTGCAGTGAACACTCGCAAGAACAGATCCACGGACACAGGGTTTCCTGTGTGACTCACTGCGTCACACTGCAGCTTCCATGACGAGATCCCCCTTTTCTTTTTCTCTTTTCTCTTAAATTTTATTTAAGGGGTGGGGGCTACAAGGGCAGAGGGCAGATACCCAGGGACGGGAAGTGAACAGGATGGAGATGCATGATGTGAAAGCCACAAAGAATAAATAAAAAGAAAGTTTAAAAAAACTTGGGTCTGTGGAAGCACTCAGCTGGAACCTGCCTCTTTAAAAACGTTATCACATTTCCTTCCTTCCTTCCTTCCTTCCTTCCTTCCTTCCTTCCTTCCTTCCTTCCTTCCTTCCTTCCTTCCTTCCAAGACAGGGTTTCTCTGTATAACAGCCCTGCCTGTCCTGGAACTCACTCTGTAGACCAGGCTGGCCTGGAACACACAGAGATCCACCTGCCTCTGCCTCCCAAGCACTGGGATTAAAGGCGTGTTCACCATGTTGGACCCACATTTTATTTCTGGGGTGGAGGGTGCACATGAGCCGTGGCATGCATATGGAGGTCCAAGAACAGTAAATGGGAATCAGTTCCCTCTTTCTACCTTGTGGGTCCTGGGGATTGAACTCAGGTCCTCAGGCTTGACGGCAAGTGTCTTTGCCCACTGAGCCATCTTGCCAGCCCTGGAATTTGTCTTATTTTTTTGGAGTCTAGTACAAACAAGTTGCATCCCTCCTTCCCAGACAGTTGGGTTTAGTAATAGCCCTCAAGGTCTCTCCTGTCCTCAAATATTTCAAATATTTGAAAAGAAATATTTGGAGACGGTCGTATGTAGCCCAGGCTAGCCTTAAACTCATGCCCACAGACAAGGAAGACCGTGAATTTCCAATCCTCCTGCTTCTGCCTCCTTGGGCAGAAGATGTCACCTGGACCTTCTGGAACGACAGGTGGGCACCCCCAGCTTATGAAATGGTGGGGGGCATGCCCAGCGGTAAACAATAACTTTAAAGAGTATAATGCCTTGGTGATGCACACCCGTAATCCCAGCACTCAAGAGACTGGGGCTGGAGGAATGCAAGTTTGATGGTTAGCCTGGGCTACCCAGTAAGACCCTGTCTCAAAAAAATTTAAATTCTTTTTTTTTTTTAAAGAGAGTGATTCACTTTATATTTTATGTGTATGAGTGTTTGCCTACATGGATGTAAGTGCACCATGTGCATGCCTGGTGCCTATGGGGGTCTGAAGAGGGTGTCAAGTTCCCCAGAACTAGAGTAATGGATGGTTGTGAACCATGATGTGGGTACTGGGAACCCAACATGGTCCCTGGAAGAGCGACAGGTACTCTTCCTCACCGAGCCGTCTCTCCAGACTCTCCCCACCAAGTTAAATTTTAAATAACTAGGGCATGAAGGACTTACCTAGCACAGAAAGAAACCGAATCTGAAGCCAGGGAAAGTGCTGGCTTCCTCTCCCCCAATTCCCGCCCTTCCGAGTAACACTACGGCCGTGTGCCCCGGAGACCGCTGTCTGGACCGTAGACACTAAGGCTTTGCTCGCCCGAGGGCACCAGGTAGAAGGAACATGGCAGACCCAGGGCACAGGAGGTGCGTGGTTCATCTGGGTCATTCTTACCTTTCTTTCAGGGTCTATATGTCTCAGGGTGGCCCCGAAGTTGCTGTACATGGAGCCCAAGTGGACGTAGTCTTCTTGTTCTGAGGGAGGAGGAAGCCCAAAGAGACAGGGTTAGAAAGACAAGTGTTCATCAGACCCTCGAGCCCACTGATGGGGAGGGTGTTCGTCCCCACGCCCATGAAACGAAAGCCAATGCGAGTGTGGTGGGTGGGCTGCCGAAGTCAGTCGCTCTCCAATAGCTGCCTAGTGCTTTAAAGACAGTCAGGAGTGTATGTCTATAGCAGCAGCACTCGAGAGGCAGAGGCAGGAGGATGGCAAGTTTGAGGTCAGTTTGGCCTACAGAGAGGGACTGTGTCTCAAAAATGATGTAGACAAGACTGGGTTTGAACTTCAGAGATCCCCTCCTTCGGCTTCCCGAGTGCTGGAATTAAAGGGGTCCCCTACCAGGCCGGCCATTGTTTGTTTTTGATACAGTCTCACCTATCTCAGGCTGGCCACAAATTCGCTATGTAGCCAAGGATGACCTGGACTCTCGACCCTCCTGTCTGCTGGGATCACACAGGTGTGCCACCATATTTGGTTTATGTGGTACTGGAGACCAAACCCAGGACTCCATAAATGCTAACCAAGTCCTCCACCCACTGACCCACTGCCCAGCCCCATTTCTAGAAATGATAATGCCTGCATTTAACAAACCACAACGCTAACCTCTTGCCTGCGATTTAAGTCACTTGATGAGCATACTCGGTCCTGGGCCCTCATCTACGCCCCTGCAGGCATAGTTTTATGTTCTGGAGAAATGTGCGCCATCAGTTGGCTCCGGGCCCCTAGGGTGTTACCCATGTTATATCTCACTCAGGTTCTAGGTAAGCTTTTGAAGGTGGCGCGGAGTGTCCGGGGATGGGTAATGATCCCGCGCCTTTCCCGGGTCTCCTGCGTCTCCCACCCTCCCCACCACGCTGAGTCTGAGCTCCACAGAGATCGCCCGTACCTTCGTTGTGGTTGAAACCGACGTTGTGGAAGGCTCCAGGGTCCCGGCCGTCCTCCTCATTCCACCTCTGCAGCTGAGACACTCGGGACCTTTGCCTGTGGGTAGAAAACACCACGGGACCCAGTCACGATCACAGAGAAGAGCCCGAGACCCAGGATGAGCTACGTCTCCGCTTCGGGCAGCTCACTGTCGGCCTCGGGAAGCGAGCTCACAGCCGGAGGCAGGACGGAGGGAGAGGACGGCGAAGGAAGGGGCGCCCGCCGCTTACCTGTTGGCCTCTCTTCTGAAGCGGAAGGAGAAGACGCCCAGGATGACCAGGATCACCAGCAGCACGGCCGCCCCGGCTCCCACCAGCCCGTAGACCAGGCTTTTCTGGATGCCCCAGTCGCAGGTCTCCCCGCTGTACCAGTGAGTGTCTGTGGTCAGGCAGCTGACGGGAGGGGCAGGGAGGGAAGACACGGTCATGCTCTGGCCGCGGGGTATCCAGTGAGGGGGGGACATTTGGCTAGAGCTTGGGGAGCTGAACATGCACGCACGCACGCACGCACCCACGCGTGGAGACAGAGGCCATCGCAGGCGCCATCCCTCAGGCGCTGTCCACAGGACAAGGTCTCCACACGGTTGTCGTGAAAAGTGCCCCCCCCCCACTATGTGAGTATTTGGCCCGCATTTGGTGGTACTGTTTGGGGAGGTTATGGGACCTTTAAGAAGTGGAGCCTTGCTGGGAAGTGGTGGCGCACGCCTTCAATCCCAGCACTCGGGAGGCAGGCGGATCTCTGTGAGTTCGAGGCCAGCCTGGGCTACAGAGTGAGTTCCAGGAAAGACTCAAATCGACACAGGGAAACCCTGTCTCAAAAAACCTGGAGCCTTGCTAGAGGAAATACGTCTCAAAGTGGGCTCTGGGGGCTCATGGCCTCTCCCCATTTCCAGATTGCTCTCTCGGCTCCCTTCTGCTCTGCTGGCCATGCCTTCCTGTCCATTATGGGACACCCTCCTCTGGAGCCACAAAGCAAAAATAAATGCTCTTCCGTAAGTTGCTTTTGGCCATGGCGTTTCATCAGTGTGAGCAAAGAGTAATTAATAAGCGTGTCTGCAGCTTGACAAGTAGTCCAGGCGGGCTGGCCAGCAAGTCCCAGGATTCCACCTGACTCTGCCTCTTCAGCTCTGGGATTATAAGGATGGGCTACCATGGACATATTTTTAGAACATTATTTTGAATTTTCAAAGTAAATTAATTTTTATTTTACGCAGGTGAAAGTTGCCTGCCTGTATACGTGTGCGCCATGTGCCTGCAGTACCCATAGCAACCAGAAGAGGGCATTATTCCCGGGAACTGGAGTTTCAGGTGGTTGTGAACCACCAGGTGGGTGCCCATTGCTTCCAAGACGTCTCTGCAGCCTGTGCGTGGCTTTGTACCTGGGGGCTGGGGATCTGAACACAGGTCCTCAGGCTTGTGTGGCAAGCACTTTACCAACTTTGCCGTCTTCCCAGACCTTCCTAGTCCTTGATTATTACTATTATTATTATTATTATTATTATTGAGACAGAGCCTCTCGGGACAGCTCAGGCTGATTTTAGACTCATGATCTTCCTGGTGCCTCTGCCTCCCAGGTGCTGGTATCACGGACACACACCACCACACTCAGCATTCAGTTCATAATGCCTTTCTTCGGTTTCCTATGTCTATGACTAGGATATACAGGTTCCCTGTTGCCATGGAGACACATAGAGTTTTTTTTTTCTTCCTTTTTTTTGAGACAGGGTTTCTCTGTGTAGCTTTGCGTCTTTCTTGGAACTCACTCTGTAGCCCAGGCTGTCTTTGAACTCATAGAGATCCGCCTGCCTCTGCCTCCCGAGTGCTGGGATTAAAGGCGTGCGCTGCCGCCGCCCAAAGGCTTTCTTTATCTATTTCAATAGCAGAGGACATTTTTTTTAAAAATTATAAAATTACATTTATTTACTCTGTGTGTGCACGTGTGTGCGCGTGCATGCATGCGTGTGTGTGTGTGTGTGTGTGTGTGTGTGCGTGTGTGTGCGTGCGTTCATGTGTGTGTGTGTATGTCAGAGAACAGCTTGCAAATGTCGGCTCTCTCTCTCTACCACGTGGGTCCCAGGGATCGAACTCAGGTCACCAGGCTTAGCGGCAAGCGTCTTTACCCACTGCGACACCTCCCGGGCCTCGGGGCCACATGCTCTTTCCCTGGGAAGGAGGCCCTGTGTTCTCTGCTAGACCGGGAGCCTCCCGAAGCTAGAGCGTCCATCGCTCGCTCCGTGTCGGAGTTTTTCCTGCCAGGCTGGACATCCCCTGACCCCCTTTGCTCTGGACTTGGCTGTGCCTGTCCCTTTAACCGTCCAAACGGATTCTCTCGCAACCTCATGACCTTGGCCTCCAGGAGACCCAGCCCCCGGCACAGCGGGGTACTCACAGGCACTGGGGGCCGCTTCGCTGCAGCTGGCACTTGCCATAGTGGCAGTCCAAGGAGGCTTTGTAGCCCGATGAGCAGGGCGTGATGCAGTGCAGCTTAGTGTCCTTGTATTCCAAGGTGACATACTTGGCAAAGTCCTCTCCAGCCTGCCTCCGGCACGCCTCTGAGGGGACATGGGAGATCAGCTAAGAATCAGGAGGTCTGCCCCTCCCCTCTACCTTGCCAAGCCTTTCCCAGAACCACACACACTACATACCTTCAGGAGTTTCAGTGATGGAAATGTTTTGCACACTGGTGGCAGCTGAGTTGAAACACAGCAAAAATTCTGTGAAGGAAACACACAACGCGGATTGTCACAGAGGCTCCCGGTGGCTTCCCTGGGTCAATGGGGGAGACTGTATCCACAGGGCTGCCTGTGGCCAAGCCTGCCCACTGGGGGAGACTGTATCCCTGCAAACCAGGAACCCAGATAAATCCTTCCTCTTTGGCCTTGTTTCTGCCAGGTTTGGCCACAGCACAGAACTAGTGGGCGTGGAAGCAGGAAACCGCAGGAGGGGATGCCAGGCTCCCAGCTCTCCAATGAGCCACCCTCACCGGGTCCTGGGGCTCAGAGGTCCCACACCCCCTCTGCCAGGATCCCCGCACTACTCATTGTGTTCAGAAGATCCACTATGTAGTCAGTCATGTGATGCCCCGTCTGTCCTGAATCCCTTAATGTTGATGCTCTGCAGGAATTCCCATCTCTATACTGCTCTGTCCCTCCCACCCAAAGCTTTCTGACAGGGGTGACAGGCCCTAGCTCTGGACCCAGATCCCAGTGACGCACAATCTTGCCTTCCTTCACTGTGCCTGACCTGTCCCAGAGTCAAAAATCAGAGAGATTAACGAGTCACCCTCTGAGAGCACTTCCCTCCAGGAGTACTTTACCTTTACTACAGTTATTATCAACAAGTACTTGTTGAGCGGTCGCATTCTGGATTTTTTCCTTCACATTATTGCGGATGTCCTCTACCACATTTTCGTATCCTTCAGTGTACGGGGCCTTCAGGATGACGTCATAATCCACCACGATACTGCCCTTCCTGGGGAGAGAGGGGTAGGACCATTGAGCGTCCTCCTGTGGTCACACCTATTGTTGACATCCCTTGCCTCCTCTACAATCCTGGGAGGGATTCCAGGCCAGAGGATTGAGAGCTTGAGGCTAACCTGGGCTATGTAGTGAGTTCAAGCTAGCCTGGACTATAGAGCAAATATAGGAAAGGCAGAGACAGAGGGAGAGAGGGAGATGAGAGAGACAGAGACACACACACACAGAGAAGAGAAAGAGAGTGAGAGACAGAGACAGAGAGAGAGAGAGTGAGAGATACGCGCACACACACACACACATATGGGGAGTGCTAGTTAATGAAGCCTCTGTCATATAAACACAGAATTCAGGCACTCATGTAAAAGCTGAATGTCATGGCATGTTGTTCAAACTTCTAATGATCTTTTAATAAAAAACCCAGAGCCAGATATCGGGATGAAAGCTGAAAGATCAGAGAAGCAGAACAGCCAGCCACTAGTTCTTATGAGATCTTCACCCTAGAGAGAGAGTGAGTTCCTGTTTCCTCACACCTTATACACCTTTCTCTGCCCTGCGGTCTTACTTCCTGGGATTAAAGGCATGTGCCACCACTGCCTGGCTTCTAAGTTTAACTGTGTGTCTCTCTGATCCCCAGACAAGCTTCATTAGGGTACACAACGTATCACCACAATGGCATGCATCTGTAACCCCAGCACCAAGGAGAGCAGGGCTGGTGGATCCCCTGACCTCCTTGGCCAGGGAGCCTAGCTGAATTGATGACCCCCTGGCTAAGTGAGAGACCCGGTCACTAAAAATAGGGTGGAGAGAGAGATGACTGAGGAAGACACCCATTGTGGACCTCCGGCTTCCACAGGTATTCACATGTATGTACACATGTACCTATACACACACACACACACACACACACACACATGCATACACCCATGCACAGAAGCATGCACAGACACATGTATGCACACAAAAATATGTATATATGACAAACACACAAAATTTGGCTAGGCAGAGAGACAGCCAAGATTGCACACAGAGGACCCAGGGAAAAGACACCGTCCCTTGATCTCAGACTTCCAGGCCCCAGAGCTGTGAGCTTAGAAGAGATCTCTGTTGTTCAAGCTACATCCACTTGTGTTCCTGCACAGCACCCACTGTGGGCTGACGTGGTCTGCCAGGCCCAGGTACTCACCTCAGCCCTTTGATGACAACCCCGTCATACTCAGGGATCCCGGCATAAATTTTCGCCATCTGAAAGGCAAGGGGCCAGCGTGTCATGGCAGAAGTCCCACCGCGGGGACTTTCTGTGGGACATCAGAACTCCCCAATCCCCACCCCAATCCCCACCTCACCTCCCAGCGGCACAGAAACCAAGGAGAAAGTTCCCTTGTCAGAGACCTGGCCGACCTGGTACCCTTTTGCCTGGCAAATCCTGCTTCCCATCCCTCACCTGCCCTGGCTAGCTGAGAAGCACACGTATCTAACACACTCGGCTGCTATCTTCTCCCCTCCACAGGATGCAGTGCGGGGTGGGTGGGGGCCGAATGGCCCTGGCGGGGTCCCCAGGGTTACCTGCTCTGTGAATGTTTTATTGAACTTCTTGAATTCATCGGATTGTCGGTCCTGTAGCTGTTCGCTGTAGTTTTGGCTGGTCACCGTCACGGTCACTTCCACGGATGCAGAGACCGTTTGCTCTAAGGGGGACAGACAGAAGCACCGGCCATTGAGAGGGACCCACCCCGGATGCAGGGAGTGACACAAGCCTCCTCCAGCAAACTGTCCCCTGGAAGAGGAAGGGGGCACACGGTATTCCTGAGGGCTACGGATGGCATCTTGATGGGAGCTAGAACGCCCCTGAGCATCCTGATGAGTCCGCTACATACTGAACATTTCACAAACGAAAACAGTGTTTAACCTGGGCATTAATCTGGGGGTATAACTCAGGGGTAGAATGCTTGCTTAGCAAGCACAAACCTCAGCTTTTGTCTCCATCAACACACACACACACACACACACACACACCACACACACACAAGTCATGCACACATGTATGCATGTACACATAGCATTCGGCACACTTTTTTTTTTTTTTTTTTTTTTTTTGGTTTTGGTTTTTCGAGACAGTTTCTCTGTGTAGACCTGGCTGTCCTGGACCTCTGTAGCCCAGGCTGGCCTCGAACTCACAGAGATCCACCTGCCTCTGCCTCCCGAGTGCTGGGATTAAAGGCGTGTGCCACCACTGCCCGGCTCTTTAACATTTTTACCACCAAGGTAACAGTAAAATATGGGGTGACCACAGTGACTAACAGTGCATTCGTATTGCTTTTGTGGGAGACTGGAGTTCGGTTCCCAGCAGCTCACAGTCAGCTGTGACTCACGTTCTAGGTGACCCAACGCTCTCTTCTGGCCGCTGTGGGTGCCCACACCTGTGGCACTTGCAAACATGCCCCCCCCCATGCTCACACATGCTCACACATGCACACACACTCGCCCCTGCTCCCCACCCCCTACACACATGCTCACACGCATGAATCTTTTTTTAAAATATGGGCCTGGGGAGGTAGGGCAAGGGCAGGGCCTGATGGGGACTCTCTGCCCGGCAGTGGGCGGGAGAGCCCTGCCCACACGTGGTGGTTCTGTGGGTTCTCACTCACCGATCTCGATGCTGTCCACCACGTCCTCACACCTTGGCCCGTAGAACAGGCTGGTACACTGGCACTTGAGCCCGTCCCACGTGCCTCCGTTCTGGCAGACCACCACGGGAACTCTGTCCTGGCAGAGGTTCCCCGTGAAGCCGTTGGGGCAAAGGCAGACTTGCCCGTTCCAGGACCCTCCATTCAGACAGCTCACTGCAAGAGACCAAGCCAGGGCCTAGCACGCGCTTGCGTGGCGTGCCACAGCGTGGCGCGTGTCAGACATGCCCCCACTCTTTCTTTCTGGATTTTTCCCTCTTCCCTCCCTCCTTTGCTCTCTCTGTCTTGTCTTTCTCCTTTTTCGTTCTCTTCCTCTTCCCTCCCTCCTCTGTTTTCTGAGACCGCCTCTCACTACGTAGCGTAGGCAGGCTTTGAACTGGCAATCCTCTGGCCTCGGCCTCCGGAGCCCTGGGATGAGAGGCCGGGTCTGCACGGCCGTGTCTGGTTGACAGCGTGGCCTGTGTGGTCAGACCCCGTATTCACGGGACAGGCAGCGCCGCCCACGACACGGACAGAGGCAGTGCAGACAGAGTCCTGCCCAAGCGCCAGCGCGGTGGACGATGGACTTGACGCCGTCAGGGGTTCGGCTCCCGTCTCCCCGTCTAGGGGTTCAGCTCCCGTCTCCCCGTCAGGGGTTCGGCTCCCGTCTCCCCGTCTAGGAGTTCGGCTCCCGTCTCCCCGTCAGGGGTTCGGCTCCCGTCTCCCCGTCTAGGATTTCGGCTCCCGTCTCCCCGTCTAGGATTTCGGCTCCCGTCTCCCCCTCAGGAGTTCGGCTCCCGTCTCCCCGTCTAGGATTTCAGCTCCCGTCTCCCCGTCAGGGGTTCGGCTCCCGTCTCCCCCTCAGGGGTTCGGCTCCCGTCTCCCCCTCAGGGGTTCGGCTCCCGTCTCCCCGTCTAGGAGTTCAGCTCCCGTCTCCCCGTCAGGGGTTCGGCTCCCGTCTCCCCGTCTAGGATTTCGGCTCCCGTCTCCCCGTCAGGGGTTCAGCTCCCGTCTCCCCGTCAGGGGTTCGGCTCCCGTCACCCCGTCTAGGGGTTCAGCTCCCGTCTCCCCGTCAGGGGTTCGGCTCCCGTCTCCCCGTCTAGGGGTTCGGCTCCCGTCTCCCCGTCAGGGGTTCGGCTCCCGTCTCCCCGTCTAGGATTTCAGCTCCCGTCTCCCCGTCTCAGCCTCGGGAGGAGAGAACTGCTGAGAACTGACACTGGAGACGGAGACAGAGCCTGGGGGATCCGGGGCCGGGAGCAGTGGAGATTCCACCCAGGGTGAGGATGGGTGGAAAGTTGGCCCCTCAGTGCCCAAGAGGAGCCGGAGCTGGAACTGTTGTGACGTTGTTGTTGTTGTGACGTTGTTGTTGTGACGCCTGCCAGGCCGAGACGTGCAGCGTGACGGAGCAGACACCTCAGAGCTGCTCACGGTCTGTGTGGAGCAGCTAAATAACTAAAATGTTCTCTTTGTGTTATTACCTATTAATGCAGTGTGAGTGTGAGTGTGTGTGAGTGTGAGTGTGTGTCAGTGAGTGTGTGTGTGTGAGTGTGTGTCTCTGTGTGTGTGAGTATGTGTGTGTTTGTGTGTGTGAGTGTGTGTCTCGGTGTGTGTGTGTGTGCGTGAGTGTGTGTGTGTGTGTGTGTGTGTAGATGAGTGCAAACGGTGCGCTGCTATGGAAAACAATAAACACTGGGAAAAGGAGCCGGAGAGGACAGAGTTGACGGGAGAAACGCACGGCTGAGGATTGAGGTGAGGGAACCAGGACAGGAGACACCGGGAAAAAAATAAAGAGGAACCCGGGGGGGGGGGGGGGGGGGGGGGGGGGAGGTCACATGACTAAGGGAATCATGTGACACGGGAGGAGGAGTGTGAAACAACCCAGGAGGAAGGACCTGAAAAACCAAACTGAACGACAACCACGGAGCCGGATGAGAAAGACAAAAACGGGAATCACAACCTGAGAGGGTGGGACCTGAACCCGGGACGGCGGGGACCACGGGAAACAGAGACAGCGGCTTACCGGGGGTGGTGGGGGGCGCAGAGGTTGTTGTCGTGGGCTCAGAAGTTGTTGTCGTGATTTCAGGAGTTGTTGTGGGTTCAG